TAGTAGGGTCGCAGTGCGAGAAGATCCACTGGTTTTAATGAGATCAATGTACTTCTGAGCGGTTCAGATTGTTTGGAGGGCAAGTACTGACGTGACCTGCTCATCATGAAGGGGTTGATTGCCACACTAGTAACGTTTTAATATTGCAGTACATAGGAGGAATTTGAAGCTTTAGCAATTAAAACGAATTCAGGGTTAACTTTGGAATATAAAAAAGTCTGGGACTGTTTCATGAGTGTAAATTCAAAGGACTAATTCCCAATCTCTTAGGGTTTAAATCTTTTATTCTATGTTTCTTTGATGGAAAGAAATGTTCTATTCGAAGATTAATACTTTAATTGCAGCTACCAATTCTTTTCCTTACTATGAGTTGCCCTGCTACAGCTAGATGAGTCATGTCTGTGAATCTTGGGTACTTTCGCAGTAAATGGTAGAGACAATTCTTAGGAAATGGGAGGTCTATTTTAGACCAATATAATGGGGCAAGACTATTGAAGGCCTATTTTTCAAACACCTTCCAAGAATGCAGCACGACTACTTGACAAACATAGGCTGAGTCTTTCATAGATAGCTAGCAGTGATGAGAAGATCAACTGGTTTTATTGATGTCAATGTACTTCTGTGAATAACGGCTCAGACGTTAGGGAGGGTAAGTACACCTGAAGGGGAAGATTGCCACATCAATAAATTTTGAAGTTGCAGTATAAATAAGTATCCGAAGCTTTAGCATTCAAAACAAACTGAAGGTTAACTTTGTAATGAACCAGTGGCACTGCGGATAAGAGAATACAAAAAGCAACAGTATAAAAGCAATCTCCTTTTTATATATTTTACTAGTTTCTTTTTTTTTTGGTGATGTTTCTAAGACCAAATAATTCACTTTGGCAGGAACAGGGTCCATAAGAAAACAGTTACTAACCTCGTCAAACCTAATCAGGGTGACAAACAAGCGAATATCTGCTTCAGTCACTTGATCTCCACATAAGTATCTCTGCTTGCTCAGTATCAGCTCACATTTATCCAAAGTTTCGTACAGTTTTTGCACTGCCTGCAAGGACATAAAGGTAATAACTTTTTCTCAGATAGAACTGATTGACAACCTATTAATTTCAAGATGTTTAGCAAATGACTCCTTTGAGTTTTGTAGTCTACTTCAAAAGGTGGTAAAAATTTACCTCATCGTAAGGTTCTTGCTTCGTTGCAAAACCACATCGATATACTCCGTTGTTTATTCCATCATATATCCACTCATTTATTTCATTGATTTGGGATTGCAAATGAGGAGGATAAAGGTCTAAAGCTGAATTCCCAGCTATGTCATTGAATTCACTATTAAACATGCGTATTATGTCTGAACTCTCATTGTTCACAATTGTCTTCAGTTTCTTATCCCAAAGAACCTATTAGAAAAACCAGACCATCAATCAACAAAAATATGAACAGACTAAGCAAATAAATGTTAATAAAAATTCTATTTATTGATAAAACATACCGGAACTGTGTACTTTCCAGAATAGTTTGTACTCGCAAGCTCATATAGCTCCCTTATGCTTTTCGCTCCATTAAGAGGATCAGGATCGGCTCCTGAATCCTCGGTGCTTGATGAAGCAAAAACCCATCCCATGTGCTCATCGCTGTCCTTCGTTCTCTCCCACTTAGGTTTAACAGACTGCAAGCCAAAAACAATGGAATGAGACTGCTAGGAGTCCAAACTTGAGTCCAGGACATAAGTTCATTCAACTGCTTACTGTGAAACTAATGGCTTGGTCAAGTCCTTTGATGTTCAAGTAGGCAAGGCACCTTGATGCCCATGGGCAAGCATATGATATGTAGAGGTGGTACCTCCCAGATTCTGCTGGAAAACGGGAATTGTGGTCCCTTGAGATGATATTACGGAAGGTTGAAGCAGTTCTCTCAAAAGCACCAGTTGCTGACATTTCATCCAGAGCGGAACGAGCCATTTGTAGACTGTGCTGGAATTGACCGGTAAGATCAGATATTAGTATAACCTTTCATCCTTTTGAACCAGAAGCATAATTGAGCATGATACCGTGTCTTAAAGAAGGTGTCATTTGTTTAACAAAACATGTGCCACCTTCACTTATAATTTTAGAGAAGTTATAAATGATGCAGTCATTATATCCAATTGAATAACACTAACATATGATCCATGTTCCTGTTAGTGGAGAGAAATATAACTACTATGCAGAAAATAGAAAATCCTATCACTGTTTCGTTATATTAATTACAGCGCTGCTTGTTGTATTACTCTATCTTTTGTGTTGGTTCTTGCAACAAATTGGGTAGGGTAGCAAAATTGGCTCTTATTCTTTCTCAAACAGGATTCATAGTTCATATCAAGAACTTATAATCTGGAGAAACACTACAATTTCAGAATCAAAATTACGCATAAGCTAATTCCATACCCTTTTCCTCCCCTTCTCTTTGTGGGACCCAGCTCAATTTGCGGAAAAGTGAACCAAGAAATTCAATTAACTAAACCCTTTCAGACTCCATGACAAATTAAACTATCAGCTAAAACCCTGAATTAGAATCGCAATTTACACAAAAGAATAAAGCACAAAAATCTTTTCTTCATTTTTTGTGATCACGATGCAAACCCACCTGAGACTAGATAATTACAGAGTCTATAATTCCTTTAAGAAGATGAATTAGCCATCTTGTATAAAGTGTTTCAAAATCATAAAACCCTCAACACATATAAAAATGATACAAAACACATCACCCATTGTGCTGCTGCAAAAAGATTAAGAACTGAAATTAAGTTGATTACCTTGAAGGAGAGCTGTTGGAATCCAGAAGTGTATTTCAGTGTTGTTTGTACTTGGATTACTCTGTTTATAAAAGGAACGTTCATACTTGTATATATGAAAAATATGATCAAATAAAAAATGCAAAGTACTACCTGTGTTAGTTTATTTTTATTGCTATTATTGTTGACACTCTGAGTCTTGATAATTGCACCTATAGTCACGATACACAGAGTAAGTGGGAAAATTTTCTGTTGTTTTTCCTTTTTTGTCTTTTTGGACAAAAGATTGGAAATATTAATCTAATCATCTTTCGACTAATTTTGAAGAATTAGTAGACTTGAATTGAAAATTTTTATTAGAAAGTTTTAATATTCGAATGAATTAATTTTCTAGCAAACTCGATATTATAAAATAATTCTTTATTTATTGACTTTAGTCAAATTCAATGGCAAATTGGAATTTAGTTGGTGATAATGATGTTTGGCAAATGTATGATAGACATAAAGAGTATTGTGTTGAATTTCTTATCTTTATTATTTAAAAGGAAATATAAAAAGGAATTATGTTTTAGGTTATACCAAGAATAATAGTCTGTTTGACCAGGTTTTTTTTGACCAAAAGTGCTTTTGACCAAAAATTGAGGTGTTTGGTCAATCTTTTAGAAGAAAAAAAAGTATTTTTTAGGAGAAGTATAAACAGTTTTTGAGAAGTAGAAAAATGTAGCTTCTCTCCGAAAGCACTTTTCTGATAAACACTTTTGATAAAAATACACTTAGAAACAGTTTTCAAAAATTTGGTCAAATACTAATTACTGCTCAAAATGCTTTTTCTTTTTTGCTACATGAGGCTCACATCGTTAATGAATACATGCTTTGTTCATCCAAAAGTTGTTTCTTTCTCGATTTCTCATTTTGCGTATCTCATTTTGTTTGATACCATTATTATTATTTTTTTGCTAAAACATTGAAGTATTACCATAGACAGCCAAATGTTTACGCCTAATGAGCACTTCAGAGAGATCTCCAAAGCCTCGAGCAAAGAAAACATCACTCAACTAATTACATAGCTATTGCCTCAAATAACTACTTCTACTTGCTTTCCTTTCCTAGAGTATTTCAGGTGATTTACCCTCTCTACAATATCTTTCTTTATCTGCATAAACACAACCTCAATATTTATATTTATCCCTCTAAAAAGTTTTCAATTTCGAACCTTCCATGTGTGGTAAAGCTTTGCACCCCATATTGCTGCTGCTAATTCCTTCTTGAACTGCTTCCAATGTATGTTTTTGATCCATTTCATACATTGAGTTGTCTCCTTCCTCTGTATTCTGATACCCGACCACGTTTCCAGTTCATCCTGTAATTTCAATGTCCAACTACACTAAAAAAAAGAGGTGTAGCTGGTTTTCAGCCTTGCTCTCATCATATAAGGAGCACATTCCATCATCTACTGGTATATAAAGTCTGATCAACCTCTCTTTTGTTAATAACTTCTCTTGCTTAGCCAATCATACTATAAACCTATGCCTAGGTAGCATAACATTGTTCCATACCAAATAAGCTTCTAACATTTTCTCCATGCTTCGCAGTAAGCTAATATAGCTTCTACTGACAGAATATGCACCATTTGTTGTTAAGTAGTTGCCATTATTGTACCAATTTGTCATAGCTACTTTAATGGAATTAAGCTTCCTCCAGTACCAACTGTCAACAGATGGGGTGTGATACCATTATTATTATTAGTGCTATTTGTACATATTAAGAGAAGAGTCGAGATTTCGTGAAATTTAAATCAAATGAATCTACATATGTCTTGAAATTTAATTTTTTGAAAATGACAATCTTTTTCGGTCTAAAAATGGGTCCTAGTGCACTATTTTGATAAATAGTGTTAAAAGGTGCGCAATTTGATTTTTGATAAAAGTTTTATCCTTAATTGATTATCTTCAAAAAATAGATATCTAGACATTCTTTAAAATAAAATGTAGAAGAGTTGTATCGTTTTGACCGATTCCTAAATATATTAGCTTTATAAAGAACAATTTAAAGCATAAACAAAATTAGTTAACCCCCCCCCCCACCCCCCCCCCCCAAACCCCAACCAAAAAAAAAAAAAAAAACTAGATCTTCACAATGGATTAAACTAAAGGATTAACTCAGATGAAAGATCCGCAAACCTGAATTGTTGCAGTTGGGAAAATGATAAGCAAAACAAATTGCCAAGTGCAAAGAACCCACATGGGATGAAAGTAAGACACATAAATTGTAAAGAAGGGAGTACATGATATGTTCTTAACAATGCCAAAAAGAAAGAAAGACGAAACACTACAGCTACTTCGCACTTCTACTACGTATCATCTCCTCACCTCAACAGTAGCATTTCAACAACAGCAACATCCATACAGCAATGCTACCTTTTATCTTGGTATGGTTAGCATTCTTTCTCGTACCATGACTGAGAGGCTCCTCGAGTCAGTAACTTTTTTCCATTTATGACATCCAATTGATAATCACCACTCTTGTAAAATGTTTCATCCTTCACAAACTCACTACGAACGAAAGAACTTAAGATTGGTCTGTCAGTCGGAAATGGATGCAAAGATTAAAAATGATGACGCTTAAATACCTTGAACACGCTAAGAATCGTCGGGCTGGTGACATTTCATGTGAAACATAAATAGTTTGAACATGCAAAGAACTGTTGGTCTGGAGACGTTTCATGTGACACATATGTGCAATGGTGGTTTGATGCAGCCAGCAATGTATACCACCTCTGTCAATAAACATGTGTGAATCCTCTGTCATGTATCCTTTTCTTCTGATCTCAAAAATTTGCAATAATGATATGAGAAGACTCTATCTTACCATGATGTTTAAGCATCAAAATCCAAAAATGAAACACCTTCCATACAAGCAGCTACTTAGCGATGACTTGTGCTATGGATCTCCTTCATTACATACGACTTGACAGCTGCATAGTGTGCTAGCCAACTTCTGACATTTAAAAAGAAGGGAAGCAAAAGGCTTATTGGTATTTGTTGTCAAATAACTGTCCTTCATCACCTCTCTCCTGCTGTATAATACTTTCTGTCTACTTTTGTTCTCCTTTTCCAATATTGGATAATTACGTGAATATCAAGGAAAAGAAAGTTACCTGATTTTCTGACAATAACAATTTTGCAACTGTTAACTTCCTTCAAATATCAACAGGGCGTTTGTGGAGCTTCTCTTACGAGCACATCATCACAGTAAATTAATTGAAAGAGTTACATTCAACAACTTTCCCTGGAAAGAATCTTCCTCAGCTTGGTCATCTGCCCCAACACAAGATCTACAAGATCAAATAAAAACACTGCAAATAAAAGAATGCTACCTGTATCTTATCTATCACAAATGCTTAGGAGAACCATTATTCATGAAACACTCGATTTTAAAAATATAAATGCATCGAAGAACCAAAAATCAAGTCATTCAAGGAACTAAAATGGTACCAGATGAGAGATGATGGAGGATCTTTCCATTTTAGACCTGGCAAATTCTTGCCGTTTTGTTGATCCTCATTATGGGAATTATCAAGAGATTCTAACCTTAATAGGGCAAAGCAATCTTTTTTAACCTGCTACTTGCACGGCCACCAAATAGCCTTTCGGTTGTTGTTCAGCAAGTCACAAGATCACTCTGCCATAGATTCTCCTGTTTAAGCGAAATCATACTTATTAGAATGAACCTAAACAAACTCAATTCGAACTGAAATGCTTTGGCAGTAAACGGGGCACAAATAGTTGCAATACTAAAGGAAAAAAGTGTAGTTAATTGGGCACCCACATAAAGCAAGACACATATTTATAGCAAAACAAGCAAAATTAACACGCATACAAATCTTACCAAAGTCTTTTGTTATCCTCTCATTCATAATGGACACAAGGTCATAGTTATTGCTTTCATAGCACACAGACATAAAGGCTGCAAGAGTTACTCGATCCACACTCTGTTGTTTGTCCAACAGTTTATGGAAAAATAGAGCAGCTACATCCACATTTTTTTCACTGCAAAGCTTCCTGACGAGGGTACATACAGTTCGAATCCAAAGTTTTTTGTCTAATCTATCTAAAAGGTCCATGGCAATGGTTGGTTCATTGTTCTTGCAATACTCATAAGCTAAAGTCAGCCGTGTTACTTCACATGGGGGAATCCCTTTATCAGTCATTGAATTGTAAAGTTCTCTAGCTTCATCCAACTTTGATTCCTTACAAAGCCCACTAATCAGAGCACCATAAGTGAGGCTATCAGGTGCACAACCATATTTTCCCATCCTCTGGAAGTACTTCTTCGCCATGGCCACATTTTTATCTCTACAATATCCGCATATCATTGAAGTACAAGTCTCTTTGGTAGGTATCAAACCTAAACTTACAGCATCATCAAAGAGCTTTTCACTGTCTTTCATTTTCTTTTGCCTACACAAGGCAGCAATTAATGTGGTGTATGTATGCATATCCGGACTGATACCAGCTTTGACCATCTTACTGAAAAGGGCAAAAGCTTGTCTGTTATCTGCTAGCTTGCAGCTCTGAGATATGAGAATGGTGTAAGTCACTAAATCTGGAGAGATTCCACTTTGCAAACCTTTCTTCAGCATCTTATAAGCTTCTTCAACCCTTCCCTTTTTACATAGACCATCAATGACTGCGTTATATGTAAAAATGCCTGGTGTCAAACCCTTTTCATCCATCACACGCAAGAATTCATAAGCAGCATCAAAGTTACCCACTTTACAGTACCCATCGATGAGAGCAGTGTAGGTGTTGGCGTTAGGGACCAAACCTTGTTCTTGCATTCTGCTCAGAAGCATCTCTGCTCGATTCAATTTTTCCTGTTTGCAATATCCAGCTATAATGGCTGTATAAGTATGCACATTAGGCTTGTAATTGTCACTCTTCACAAGCTTTAGGAATAGTCTAAATGCCTTATCCATCCAGCCCTTCTTGCAAAGACCGTCAATCAATGCAGTATGAGTGAAAACATTTGGTTTTAAACCTTTTCTAACCATTTCCTCTAACAACTCAAATGCATGCTTAATTATCCCTTTCTTACACAATCCATTTATCAAACACGTATAATTGACAACATTTGGAGCCAACCCCAATTCAACCAATTGATTGAAAATCTTCAATGCTCTATTAACAGACCCCTTTTCACAAAACACACTCGTGATCAAAGTGCATGTCGCATTATCAACAAGAAATCCCCTTTCTAGCATTGCACTCAGCCACCTATCAGCCTCTGCAACTCTACCCATCCTACAATAAGCAACAACCATTGACTCAAAACAAAAAGAATCAGGACACACTCCTCTGTCACACATTTCACCGAACACCTTCTCTGCCATCTCAACATAGCCCATCTCAGTAGCAACACTAACAACAGAATTCAAACTCTGAGCATTCAAAACCAACCCTTGATTTTGCATCTCAAACACCATATCTATAGCCTCTTTCAACATACCAATTTCACCAAAATTCCTCAACATAAAATGCATTACTTCATGGGCTCTCTCAAAGTTTCCATTTTCAATCAAATACATAGCTAAAACTATATAAAGCCTCATAAAATGCCTGAATTTCACATACCCGATTGCCCAGTAAAAGAAACTCAATGCCAGCATTGAGCCTCCCTCATCAGCAAGAGAGGCAACAACTGTTATAGCCTGTTCTTGAGTCAAATACTCAGAATCTATAGGCAGTTTCAACTTGGGAGCTGTGGATTTGAAATGGCTAATTTCTTGAATTTTGCAATATGATTCACACACTAAAGAACAGACCCTTTTGACAACTGAATCAAAATCTGAAGAAGATGAAGGCAATGGGTTTGTTGTAAAATAGTCAATTTTGATATGGCGCCAAGAGGGATTAAAAGTGAAGATGGGGTGAGGTTGGGTGAAAAGGAGGCCATTGAGGAGTGTGTTAGAAGCTGTAAAGTGGTAAAATCTGTAGAGACGATGAGATGTAAAGGAAATCATGAAAATGCTGTACTTTGAGAGATTGTTGGGACAACGGATTCAATAGCCCTCACAGACACAGAGGATCTAATATAAACAAGTGGTACTTCAAATATTCAGGCTACACTTTATAGGAAACTAGGTGGGCGTTTGGACATAAGAATTGTAAAATTCCGGGGAAAAGAAGTGATTTTTTTTTTTATATATAGGGAAAATGGTATTTGAAAATTAGAGTTGTGTTTGAACATAAATATAAGAAGTTTTGTGAGTAATCTAACTGAAAATTTTAAAAAACAGTTTTTTGGAGTTTTTTAAATTTTCGAAAAAAATTCTATAATCCATCTTCAAGTGAAAATTTGAAAATTTATGGCCAAACACTAATTTCGAAAAAAAAAAATGAAATTTTTGGTATGTCCAGACAGGCTCTAGATATTGAAAGGTTCGTGCTGAGCATGCGCCCAAAATGTAAAAATGGCGTGTGGTAGCCACTAAATAAGGTGGTGTTTATTTTTTATCCACCAATTCTAATGTTGAGCAAAAATAGCCACTACTCTATTAAAATTAATATGAAAAGATATTTTTACCCTTTCTTCTATTTCTTTTATTCCCAAACCCTTCCTTTATACGCTTCTCTCATTTAAGTTCAGAGCCAAAATTTCATAGGTAAAATTTCGCTCCCTTAATATCGTTCCTGCATGCAACTCTCTTCTCTCAATTGAAGTTCAGAGCCAAAATTTTATAAGCAAAATTTCGCTCCCTCAATATCATTCCTGCCCAGCCCATGCCCAGCCCACAATAATTCTCTGCGTATACTTTGTCCAACTTAATCTCTTCTCCTTTCTCATCTTCTCTACAGCGAACCGGCGTACTGGTATGTTTTCGATTTTGCTTTTATGCATTTTTCTTTTTGTATATCTCTAATCGTGATCAATGCTGTATTTGTCATCAACTATGTATGAAATGTCCAAAATAATGATTATAACTTGATTCGCTGAGGAATAAGGTGCAGATTTTTGTGAGAAAGTTATTGAGAACCTTCTGGTATTGAAATGTGTTTGTGGTTCAATCAATATATTGATTATGTAAGGACATTTCAGAAAAATAGTCCTAAGAATTTGTAAGCTAACTGTGTTTAGGAATTTTAGTTAACTGTGCTTCTATTAAAGATGCATCTAATTAGGTCCTGGATTTTAGTTTTTTAGTTTAAATATTAAGGACATTTCAGAAAAATAGTCCTACGAATTTGTAAGCTAATTTTAGTTAATTGTGCTTCTATTAAAGATATATCTAATTAGGTCCTGGATTTTAGTTTTTTAGTTAAAATATTAAGGACATTTTAGAAAAATAGTCCTAAGAATTTGTAAGCTAATTTTAGTTAATTGTGCTTCTATTAAAGATGCATCTAATTAGGTCCTAGATTTTAGTTTTTAAGTTTAAATATTGAAAACATTTCAAAAAAATAGTCCTAAGAATTTGTAAGCTAAGTTTAGTTAATTATGCTTCTATTAAAGATGCATCTAATTAGGTCCTGAATTTTAGTTTTTTAGTTTAAATATTAAGGACATTTTAGAAAAATAGTCCTAAGAATTTGTAAACTAATTTTAGTTTATTGTTCTTCTATTAAAGATGCATCTAATTAGGTCATGGATTTTAGTTTTTTAGTTTAAATATTAAGGACATTTCAGAAAAATAGTCCTAAGAATTTGTAAGCTAATTTTAGTTTATTGTTCTTCTATTAAAGATGCATCTACTTAGGTCCTGAATTTTAGTTTTGTAGTTTAATTATTAAGGACATTTCAGAAAAATAGTCCTAAGAATTTGTAAGCTAATTTTAGTTTACTGTTCTTCTATTAAAGATGGATCTACTTAGGTCCTGGATTTTAGTTTTGTAGTTTAAATATTAAGGACATTTCAGAAAAATAGTCCTAATATTTACGTTCTATTTCCTTCTTTGTAGTGTGCTAATGGAAGAAGATCGTGTTTTCGAGTTTGATGATTGGCGTAATTCGATGAGCTACTGGAAAGGAGATTTTCAGTATAAGGAAAAAATAAAAAGTTTCTTGTCGAACACGCAATGGAAGAAGTTGAGGGATGGTGTTTTCAGAAACTTTTTTCGATTACAAGGTGTGAAGTTCTGTGGTAGACTTATTCATTGTGTGTTGCTTTNAAGGAGATTTTCAGTATAAGGAAAAAATAAAAAGTTTCTTGTCGAACACGCAATGGAAGAAGTTGAGGGATGGTGTTTTCAGAAACTTTTTTCGATTACAAGGTGTGAAGTTCTGTGGTAGACTTATTCATTATGTGTTGCTTTCAGAAATTATAAGCAATGACTCGCATTCAATGACATTCAAGGTTTTTGATCATGAAGTGAAGTTTACACGTGAAGCGTTCCAGATAATTACTCGGTTGAAATGTTCTTCTTTAGTGGACTTCAAAGTTTTACGTGAAAGAGAGAATAGGCTTTCGAAAGTCTACTTCCCTTGAAAGGATAGAATCGAGTTAGGTGATTTGTGGCATTTTATTACTAGTTACCCATATGGTACAACTGCATCATTTTTAGGCAGCCATGATGATGCGGTGAAGTTGGCAACAATTTATTTTGTTGAATCTGTGTTGATGGGGAAGCGCAAGAATCGGAATGTGTCTGAGCGGGTAATGAAAATCGTAGATGACGATGAACTCTGCTCTTCTTTCAATTGGGGCTCCTTTGTTATGAAAAGTTACTAAAATCATTGAAGAGCTGCTTGAAGCCCAAACAAAATACTTCACACAATGAGAATGAGAATGAGAAAGAGAAAGAGAAAGATAAAGAGAAGGACAGTTATACTGTACTTGGCTTCCCTTTCGCCTTCTGTGTTTGGATTATGGAAGTATCCCCAATTTTTCAGGAAAAACAATTTGTGAACTTCAGAGAATGTGGGTTTCCCCGTATGCTATGTTATTCAGATATGAAATCTCCACATTATGACACCCTATGTAAAAAGTACTTCCATAATGAAAAAGTAAGTTAACAAGATTACTAGCTATTTTTTTGTTTATGTGTTTTAATTCTAAATACTTACATTTTTTTTCTTATATAATAGTTGTATCAGTTGCTCGAGATGGTACCATTTCTTTCTTCTGAAGTAGATGCAGAGCCCACTAGTGTGCATGTGC